CAGACCTCCCTAAGTGCACCCCCTCGGGACCATAGGAAAAAAAATGAAAAGAGTGCACTTAAAGAGGGTGTGCATTTATAGAGAGCAAATTATATAGGCTCTTATAAGCTGGGACCAGACTATACCGTGCATTTAGAGAGAATTTACTTAATCCGTGCACTTAGGGAGGTCTGACTGTACTGTATGTTAATTATTAATAATAAAAGCCGATTTATCAATAAAGTCGAATGAACCGTTTGCATCTCTAATATCGGCAGACCCATTCCCTGTGTTTGATCGAGCAATATCCATCCGTTCATTATAGTATAATTATAATTGCAAGTCAAATAAAAGTTCAATTTCTAATAAATATATCTGTTTATTTCTATTAAAATTCAAATAAATATATGTACTTTTTTTATATTGCATAATGATTTTTTTTTAAAAAGAAAACAAAAAAAAAAATCAAATATTTTTTTAAAATAAAATTTATAATATACTAGGTGTAAAAATTATGAATAATCAATTATCGACTTAAATTGCTTGTTTTAAAAATTAATTTGTCTATGTGAACTACCCAGATTACCAATGGATTGAAATCTTGTATTACTAAGGAAAGCAGTGATAAAATAAATATAACCAAATTTTTAAAATACTAATTATCTCTTTCTAATTCAAAGATAGTTTGATAATATTGACCGTTAGTTTTGTTTTGTGCGAAAGCAGTAATTTCCATTTTTCCAAAACAAAGTCCAAAAAGAATAGGTCTTTTGAGGCCAAGATGGACGTCTGGAAGATCAATTCGAAGTTTTCCAAGTAGCTTCATTCCAAGCTCATCACAATATTTGAATTCTTGTTCTTGTGTACAAAATATTTCAAAAGTTATAGCTACTTGATCCTTTTTTAAAGGCAAACAGCTAAAAGTAAACTCTTGATCTACGGACACTTCGCTCCCCTTCGATGCTAATGGATGAAATTTATCAATAAATCCATCATAGCTTTTTCGATTTTTTGGATCTCCATCCTTCCACTTCATAGATTTTTTGATTCCATACGTATATTTAAGTACTCTAGTTTTGACGACAAATTTGTCCCAATTCAAAGCTACACCATTGGCAGTATTTTTCATGCTGAGACCATAATATGCAGCCCCACGACATATACTAGCAATCGGTTGAACAGGAACTGAAATAGAATTAACCCGCTGTTGGCATTCTTCTTTGATTCTTGATTGTAAATATTTAGATTGACTGAACCCTCCAACCAAAAATAACATGGAACATTTATCATTGGAATTATCTAATTGTATCTTTATCATGTTAATAATCCTATTGACAACAGGATCAAACATATTCTTGACATTCATATAATCTAATTCGATTATCCAATCATTTTCCTCTAGTCTATTTTTCGCATCGCCGGTTACATATTGTTTGATTACAGGACAAACCTCTAATAAAAAATATTATATTAGTTTATTTTCTAGATTAATAACTTTTAAAACGTATAAATATGCTTACCTCCAAGATCTAGGTCATATGAAAAGTTTGGATCTTTACCATCGAATGGAAACTTGACATTTTTACAAAATTCTTGAACCATATATTGCATTTGGCCATAATGACTCCTTTCAAGCATATTTAATGGAGTTTCACCAAGTATTCTTTTGAGAAATTTGATAAATTCACGATCTATCCAAGCACTTCCACAAAAATCACCTGCACGTTCAGTAACTTCACCCAATTGGTTATTATTATATAACCTACGAGTTGTGAGATCTACAGTTCCACCACCTGCATCGACAATACAAAAGATTGCTACGTGCATCGTATCGAGTAAGTAATCGACATATTATATTAAGTGTAATATACAAAAACTATCTCAAAAAGTATACATACTGTGATCGATTCTACTATCAGGCTTGGCAATAAAAGCAGATTCTTTAAGACAATGTTTCATACAGTAAATAGCAGCGGCTTCGGCTAAATTAAAAAGAAATTAAGTTCAAATTTGATATATAAGGGATAAGGTACAGTAATATTAAAACATACGTTCTGTGGTGAATTGCAATTTTTCCGAATCAATTTCACCAGTTAAACCAGCATTGAATACACATTCACGCATTATATTGCGTGATCGATGAGAGTATTCAGCAGGAACGGTCATGACAAGTAAAACGTTCTTATGAAATTCAATGCTTGGCCAAGAAGTTATAATCGTATCTTTTATCAACTTTAAAGACAAAATTTTATAAAATTTAAAAATTTAATCACTACGATTTACGTATAATCATGTAATCATAATGTTTTTTTATGTAACAAACCTTTCCTATTTCCCGAAGATAATCAGTGATCGCTTTTTTATAGTCCACAGGAAGTTTAGGTTTCATATCTTCAAACAGATTACCCAGGTGAAGTTTAAATAATTCTACAGGTTTAAACTCATATTGAGGATTTTTCTTTCGCTTAGGTCGCTTTGCAAGCGCGGGATAACCCCAAAACTCAACATGATCAAATTGATCATCATATTGCAATACAGTATTAGTCTTGAGGCGACCTATTTCTCCTGGCCATGTCTCATTAGTACAAAGTTGTTCATTTTCATGAGTATGAACAAAAGCGAAACCCTGGTAATTATAGAATTCCAGATATAAGTATGAGGAAATATATAGACATGAGAATAAAGGGTATGTTTTTATTTCATACAGAATAAGTAGTCCCAAAATCTAAATGTGTAATTATAAAAAAGTTAGTCATGCGCGATGAATTTGTAAGTCATACAAATTCGCACGCGTAAATAAAGCATATACCTAGTCCCACGATAACACGTATATCATCACTTTTATACATCGTTATCAATAATTAACGTTAATATAGATTAATAAAATACAACAATCTGAAACATTCGATATTGTCGAGAAGCCCGGTCTTTATATAGCATGCATTCAGCAATTAAAAGAATTTAGGGAAATGTCGGAAAGTAAAATTCATAATCGCTGATATAAGGACCAATTTAACTATATTTAGTAAAGATTACATTGGCAGGTTTGAGAAACAGAACAACGAATTTGTTTGTAATTGCATATCGATATATTTTATTAAACAAAAACGGTTTCCTGTTATATCAGCATCTTATCATGTATAAAAAAAAAAAAGATGTGATACACATCGAGATTAGTTCTTTGTGATCCCATCTACTGCGCCATATGAGACATTTCTATCGATTTTATGCGATATTGTTTCCCTAAAATTTTTATGTCACGATTTCATCCGTATGGTTTCGGAAAGTTTATCCGATTTATATATTCGTATAAGACAAAGTAGAATGTTCTTGTCAAACGGCGACCAACTCTGGATATAACAATCCATTTTGTGATGAACACGCCATATAACTTTTTTGTTACATAAAACTATATAAATGGTTTTTTTTGAAAATTTTTTTTTCTATAAGAATCTCTGGTGATATCTATGTAATGTGTCCTATGGCTAAAGTTTTACTAACTATAAATTTTTTAGTCAATCACTTCAAATTTAGGTTTTCGGGCAGAATCGACACAATAAAACCCCTATTCGTAACGATAGAAATTTCCTTGTTGGTCGACATCAAATAAATAAATATCTAATGATCTTGGCAGTGTACGACTTGGCCGAGTAGATAACTTATTCACTTATCCTTGGATCCCTCTTGTTCTTTATTGTAACCTTATTAATCTTCTAACCTTTCCTTTAGCATTAGGTTCGAGTCTTGAACTCAACAAATATAAGGCTCTACGGATTTCTTTGTAGAACACGTGATTTAGCGGAGTCTCTAACACGTGTGTTACTGCGTATTTGTGTAATTGTGTAATTGAGTACGTATTTACAAAGTGTCATTTCATTTTACTACCGCTACTAATTTTTTTGACATTTCTAGATAACGTCTTTTCACATGGGTTAGACGTTATTTATATAAGAGATGTCAAAAAAGAAATTGTAAATGACGCACTTTATAGTCTAGTCAACACTCATATTACAATGGACAAGCGATGAGTATAATTAATTAAACAATCGTTTTACATAAACAATAAAGACACGATGTTATAAATTGAAGACCATTTGAATTCAACATCAAGTTTTTATCTTTTTATTTTTATTTAATTGCTTGCTTACAATAAATGCAAAGTGAAGTTTTTATAACTAGCAAATATTTGAAAATATCGCAAGGTTACTACGGTCGACTCTAGGCATAACAAATCTTTCTATAACGAACTCAAAATTAGAAATTTTTTAATAATTCGATATAAAAAGTGCCATGAATTCTTAAGAAAATATAGTGAATTCCTTTAACGAAAATTTTTTCTTCCAGAATCTTCAATTCGTTATAGAAAGAGTTCGATAATTCCTATCGTTATACAGCCGTGTCGCAAATTACTGCCTACAATATGAAAACAAACATCGTATTGCCGTGAAATAACAAGCATGTTAGAAAATCGTACCCTATAAAAATAGCATATATTATTTCAAAATAACGCCCATGCGTGTCCCGAAATAACTCGTATCCGTATAACTCGGCTAGAAGCAGATACATAGGTAGTAATTCTAAATTTGAAAAGCTGTTCGAAAAATTATCTTTGTCTCGAAGTAACGTGTTGGTAATATAATTTGCGTGTCCTAACTAAAAACCGACATTTTTATACTTATGCACTCTAAAGACATCAGCACCGAACATTGATTAATTCATAGTTTAACACAGCATAGATTCTAATAAATATTGAGGTTTATTGCGTTGCATTCCCAATAGCACACTTGGATCGTGGAGAATTACTAATGCATTATAATTGTATACAGTCTTAAAGATGGTGTACATACGTACAGTACATACTTTCTATATCTGTGAGACCAGAGTATTAAAATCTATCACGGCATCAATTTAAATTTGCAATCAACTATAGAAAACAAAACCCAAATATCTATTTAATTTAATTCATAACTGTAACTTTGAATATACATTCTAAAACAAAAACCAAACTACAAATTTTATAAAAATTAATTCTACGCATTTATCTATATTACGTTGATAAAAAAAAAAATCAAGATTTTTTGTGATTAAGATGTATTTTATTAACAGCATTACAAATAAACAAATATTTAATATTCATTATATTTACCTTAAAAAATAGTTACAATCCTGTTGCTACGTGTACCATAGCAGGGATAAGTATTTTTCGCTTTTTTTCATCTTCCCAGTCAATACCTATTAACGGGAATGAACAAATCAGTACCACATCTTGGCAATCATGTTCAAATGTTCCTTGCATTAATTCTGGATCCACTGGATCATTGTACTCAAACCAATGAGGTGAATCAGCTTCAGGTTCTTGAACTTTTAGTCGGAAAAAGAAAATTCTAATAACATCTCGAACAATATTTGCTGCCATACTATTTAATTTGGTTATTTTGTTAGGATCATTTATTGTTCGAATACTGTTAATCTTTTTAATAAGTTGTTCTTGCGTTTCATTAATGAACGGATGTTCTACAGTATCTTTCGATATAACTTTGGAAAATCCGCGGTTTCCAAGAACCGCGTAGATTTGCTGGCGGAGTTTAATAGGCAATGCTCTGGTAACATCATCATCTCCTTCCCTGAACTTTGCAAAATGTTTCATTTTATCTAGTAAATTCTTTGTTTCAAATACAATACGAGTTTCAAGTGATCTCTCTTCTGTATTTTCTTCTGTATTTTCATTATTTGTTTCGGGCAATCTTTTTTCAAAATATTTGCTAGTTGAATCTAAGATCGTTTCAAGAACAAATCGTTGAAGTGCAGCTTTAAGAAGTGACTTAAAGTGTTCACCATCTATGGATTCAGTACATCCGTATCGTTGCAAAAGATTCATTGCCTCCTTCTTATTAATATTTATATTAGGTTTAACAATGCAGAAATCTTTTAAAGTTTGTTGCAGAGATGTAATGTCTTCTCTAAGCTGAACCGAATTGTTACAATCATCATCACTCAGTCGAAAATTTGTTGCTCTTCCCAATGCGGATTGATGTCTTGATGCCTCATCTTTCAAATCTTCAATATCTTTACGAAGCCCTGATATTTCATGATTTTTTGCTTCTATTTCTTTATTTTTTGCTTCTATTTCTTTATCTTTTGCTTTTATTGTTTCACGAAGATCTGATATTTCATAAGATAATCTTAATTCTTTATCTGACGCATACAATTGTTGTTTCTTTGGCCTCGTATTATTTTTATTATGCGTGGAAACATTTCCAGTAGAAGATGTGGAAAGAACCAGAATATCGTGCTTAGATTCGATATTCTTGACAAAATCTTGATCACATAACCTATTATTTTCTACTCGTGAAACTAACAGAGTTAAGAAACTATTATTAGGTTATCTTTATTTATTTATTTTTTGACATTTTTTTTTTAAAATAATTTATTACCATTTTGTTCATCTTGATTATTTTTATTTTTCGAACCGAAATTAAAAATCGATAATAAATCAAACTTTGTCATATAGATCGGTTATGTTATGAAAAGTCCCGATATCGTTATACTTATCTTTTTTTGTTACCTTTGTGTATGGGAAAATCACACAAAAAAAACCAGAAAATCTTGAACAAATTTTACTATCTTGCAGGATTTTTTCATTTTTGGTACACTAATGGGGTCACTTAAAGAATGGTTTAAGGCGGCAGTTTGTGGGGAAGAATTCGATGAAATCCGATATGATGACTTAAGAGAGCTCTTCTTTATTGACCGTGGAGGTTTCGGAGAAGTATATTCGGCAAATTGTGTATCTATTAACAAAACTGTTGCGGTAAAAAAGATCTTTCAATCCTATCTCGAGAAACAAGACGTCTCTGATGCTTTTATTAAAGAAGTATGGTTTAAAATAAACTATTTTAATAATTTTTTGCAGGCTAGTTAATGGTGTGGCATACTCCGGAGCAGCTCCGGAGTGAGCCCAACCCCAAGTTGGAGTGGGTTGAGGAATAGCTCAACCCAACCCGACCCAACCCATTAACAATCCTACTAGAAAAGTTTTCATATAAAATTTTCTGTTTTTCTATTCTATATACGTAGTTAAAATTACATAAACAACTTTGTGATAGCAACAGGATTATCAATTTTCTTGGAATCAGCAAAGGTTGGTCATATATAATTTAAAAGCTTTCTAATGCAGTTCAACCTTGATATAATCACCGGGTTGGTAACCAAAATTTAATGCGACTAAGGTGATAGTGACTATATAGAGGTTAATTAGTAGAATGAAAATAGACTTCTTTTTTTTTTATAATTTGTGACTACAGTATATCACTTATTTATAATAAAGTCTATTCTAGACCCAAATGATGGAAGTCACTTAATTGTGATGGAATTTGCTGATAGTGGCAGTTTACAGCAGTTTCTAAATAGAGAGAGGAACAATTTACAATGGACTGAGAAGCTTTCTCTTGCCCAACAGTTAGCTGAAGGAGTGGCCTATATTCATAGCAAGAATATAGTACACCGTGATCTTGTACGTCTTTTTTATTCTTATATTTATTAAATAATACTGTGACTAAATCTCTTCACATTTAATGTTTAGCATGACAAAAACATTTTAATTCATCGGAGACAAATCAAAATTGCAGATTTTGGCATATCAAAAAACCTTAATAGCATACTTACCACTCAAACACCTCTCGGCAGAGTGCCGTATGTAGAACCGAAAGCTATTGCCAATCATAGTTATAAAAAGGATAAACGATCAGATGTTTACAGTGTCGGAGTACTATTATGGGAGATATCTAGCTGCCGTTCACCATTCAACGGCTTTCATGATAATATTGAAATTTGCACATGTATTTTGAAAGGTGCTCGGGAATTACCAATTTCCAATACGCCTATTAAATATATGAAGCTCTATAAAAGATGCTGGGAGACAGAGCCAGAGTTGAGACCAGATATTAGCGAAATTGTAGTCCGTCTAAGCACGATGCGCTTGGAGCCAGTATATGGCCCATTATTACCGGTAAACAACAGACGTGTGAAAACACTTTCGCCACCTATAAGAAGATACTTCAAATTAAAAATATCTTAAATTATTCAACAATTCATGTACTTATTAATTAACGCAATTACAGATATGGGACATCATTTGACATTAATTTTTGATGAGAATCTTGCAATTCCATTAACATCGAATAACGAAATGTCTCCGGACTATGGTAATTGTGAGCATTGTGGACAAAAATTCACCAATGTTGAATGGTGCAAGAATTGTCAATGTAAACGTTTTCGGAAAAATTTTGACTATTGGACAAGTGGCAATAAACAGCTTAGTGAATTAATTAAGAAGTCACAACTTGAAGCAACGTACATGTCTAATTATATTGAATGGATAGAAAACGATCATCTAGAAGATATAGAAAACATTGTAAAAGGCAAATTTTCCACGGTTAAATCAGCAGTATGGCGCATTGGTCCTCGTGAAGTATGGGATGAAGAAATGGGTCAATGGGAGAGAGCCTCTAAAACTAAAGTGGCCATAAAGTATTTAAAAACGTCTGGTTCGGACTTTCAAAAGTTTCTGAATGAAGTAAATTTAATTTTGCTATAATTTTGTCATGTCAACTTTTTTTTTTTTCCCAAAAAAATGCTAAATATTTTTTGTAAATATTTAGGTTAAATTACATATATGTTGTGATAAAGTTATTCGATGCTATGGGATCACAAAAGATTATCAAACTGGCGAATATGGGTTAGTTCAAAAGTATGCAAGTTATGGCAGTTTACGTTCTTTTATAAATGAAAAGGATTTTATCGGATGGTGGCAAAAATTAAAAATACTAGAAGGAATTATTCTGGGTCTGAATCAGATTCATTTAAGGGCTGGCTATTGCCATCGGGATCTACATTCAGGAAACATTCTAATCGACCAGGATGAATTAAGTGTATCAGTATTAAGCTCATATATTACTGATTTTGGGCTTTCCACTCCCGTTGACACTTATTCTGGAGTTAACAAAATTTACGGTGTGCTCCCATATATAGCACCAGAAGTTTTAACAGGACGTCCGTATACTCGGGCAGCTGATATTTATAGCTTTGGTATAATAATGTTTGAATTAACGTCCAAAAATCCTCCATTCTATGATATAAATTATGATGATTTAAGCTTGGCAATCAGAATAGTGAAAGGACAACGTCCTGAAGTTGTCACCGGTACCCCGAAATGCTATGTCGATGTTATGACCAGGTGTTGGGATGCAGATCCATTAAAGCGACCATCTAGTACCGAATTATTGAGGATAATTACAGTATGGAACAATTGTTCTAGGGATAAAGATCAATTTGATTCTGCTAATAGAAAAGTACGGGGATTCAAAAAACGTCCTTTTACTACGAACGACAAACTTTATTACACATCTAAAGCACTTTCAACTAAACTAATTTCCAAGTTAAAGCATCAAAGTGTTAAATATGAATCTATTGAGTATAAGTTTGATCAAAACTGTCTTATAGTAAAAGGTGAAAATGTCGATTTTACTGGTTAGTGATCGCTAAGAACTATGTGTTTATACATCTAACAAACTTAACTAAACTATTTCGATGTTAGAGCTTCAAAAAGATAAAGACGATAACGACGATCCTATGGCAAAAAGTGAGTAATTATTGTAGTTTACACTTATTTATGACCAAGATATAGCTGATTTCAAAATTCTGAATTGTGGCATTGTGGAATCGTATTGCATTATATGAGTGCTCGAGAGCGAAAATGTGCGAGTCCATAAATTCTCGAAATAACGCCAAGGGATGAAATTACGAATTTTAGCCTAAATTAAGCTTAATTCGAGCCAAAACTCAAAATAACGCCTATGTCAAGATCAGGCTGTCACACGTTTTCGTTCTCGAGCAGAATTATGAAACCTCTCTATAATGGATTTATTTCTGCAAGTGAACAAATCACAAATATTTATTTGGAATTTGACCAACGTTAGGGTTAAGTGTTGGTATGAGGAGCATCATATACAGTGTTGTTGAAGGTAATTTTACCATCGTAACTTACCATGGTAAATTACCGGTAAGTTACTAAAATTTCTTAATGG